GTAAGAAATCATAATTTCACCAGTAGCCCCATCTAGAGTTTGGAGCAAATAGCATAAAAAATGTCAGTTGTCGGTTTTGACCTTGGTCATTCACGTGGAACCTCTATGTGCTAGGAGCCACAGAATAACCACTATTACAGAAATGAAGGCTTGCGTCGGCACGTTTGATGTCGGGGTGGCCAAATTTTAAAGTGACACTCGCTGACAGGTGACGTTCTTGCCGGTTGTTACACTGGTAAAAATTACCAAGATTCTTATAAATTCGGATAATACACGGAGAAAAAGGTTTAAACATATGTAACAAACTTATTTATCAACATCCACTATTTCTTCTCTGAATTGAAGGTTAGTGATATAATTAGAAAAAATAAGGCTTCACAATAATTTATTTTGAAGTAAATTGTACTGATCGCTATATTAAAAAAGAGTTTTTACTTGAGGAACCAGACCGAATGCTCGTTGTACTTAATTCATCAGTTTTTTTAGATAACATTAACTCTTTAACAGAGGGATTATATTACAAATTATTGATGTATTAATTAATTGTATACTTTCCTGAAAAACACCTTCAACTATGATAGTTGGATCTAGAAAAATAGATTAAACTGATAATAACTGGCATTAAAAATGCAAATACTTCCGAACTGTCATTTTGAAAGCCTTTTATGTGTTCTAGAACCTTATCATATGTCAATAATACCATAAACAATCCTTGTATTAAGACTTTCGCCACTCTTATAATAATTTGACAACTCGGTGGATAAATCTGTGATTTTTTACAATTCCATTTTTGTAAAAAAAATTAATCTAGTAGTCGTTGGTAGAAAAGCATCACCAATAATTGGCGTATCGATTTATTACACTGTTTTACACTAGCACTAGCTCAAATGGCTTTTCTTTTGAGTCTTTTGTGCAGAGATGTCCAGTAATTGCAGCACTTCATTAACGTGGGAGTGGTCGACCCTCATGTTTTGCAGTAACCTCTTTTTCTTATTTGTCTGTATGAAGATAATCATTTAGATAGAGCCAGGGTGCATCAGTGATACATCTTAGGACTTTATTTTGGAAAACTTATATTATGGCACATCCTCGTAGCTGTATTTCATAAATCCAGACGACTTAGGATTTGTTTATAAATCATATAAATTTGTTGTATACATAAATTTGCATTTTTAGATGCATAATTATTAGAACTATGAATTAAATTGAGATTTGAAGAAAAGTACTGTAGGAAAAAGGTTGTTATAAATAAAACACGTACCCATACTGACTATTAATTTTAATAAACCAAAATACGAAAAACACATATTACAAAAATCAGATTAATAAAAATATCAATATGAAAAATACCTACACATCAAAAGGCACAAAATTTTAGACAAAGGAATATGCCCTAGGTCCTAAAAAATACAAGGTAAGCGCAAACTGCTTGTATTCATTGGAATGTCTTCTAGCTAGAGGCTTTTTGTTTTTAAATTCCGCTTGAGATTTAACTAATCTGCAAATGGTTGGTTTAAAAATTGTGGCCCAACCGAAGGATATTTTTGGGACTGGCACATGCATTATCATAATAGAAACAACAATATCTCTTCAATCTTCAAAGTTAGTCATTCTTTTGCTGAGACCTAAAAAAAAAATATTTAAATTAAAAAAATACATAAAAACAACACTTTTATATTATTTTTAATACCTGGTGTACTGAGAAAATCGTCGTGGGATTTAGTAGGGTACAGATTCATTCAGAATGATGAATTATTTCATTTGTTGTGGGTGTGTGTCAGAATATTGTCAAAAGTACATTTTCAAATAAACATTTCCGAGTTGATCCAAATGAAAAACTACTGGGCTGGAAATGTTTTTTACACAACTGGTAGCTTTTGTGTAATTATTCGTAATTATTCACTGGTCATATTAATCAAGTCTTCTCGACTACAGGCTCTTAACAACATGGTAAACCTAAAAAAATACAAAATACATTGTCATAGGTACATAAATATAATTTGATTTAAAAATGATAATAAAATAATTGTTTTGATTAAATAGCCAAATAAATAACATACAGTTAACATTGTTGCATTTGAAAAGTACCTCGTTTTACTCATTTTACTCGAAGCCGTTCTCGATGGGATCTGCTCCATGGTCATTTAAATTGCATAATTTATTTTGCATACCTTTCTGAAACAATGGGAAATGAAAAATAACTAGTATTCGAATCCGTTCGAGGTAGACATGGGCGATAAACACATCTCTTTCTTTTAGATTCCATCAGTTCACTAAAAAATTATTTTGCTTTAATAAAATAAATAAAAATATGTAAATAGCTCAGCACATACCACAAAGAGTCTTCGATTAAAAACATGTTTACTGAACAATGTTCATAAAATAGACGAAGGAAAGCACTAAACACAGATTTACTCAATAATTGTTAAAAAATATACAAAGGAAAATACTAAAATACACTTAAATTCGATAAAAAAAAATCATAAATTATAAATGACTGATCCTGACACATCAAAACAACACTTGTGACATGACAGTTTTGCCGGTTATAAAATGGCGGCCCTGATCATGCGCAAAAAATTTTGGACCCCAAAAATTGACGTGCCTTCGCTTCTGTAAAAGTATTCTGTGCTAGGAGCGGCTAAATCCGTAGATATTATCCGTCCGCAATGTTGCCAAGTTGTAATTTTATTTGACAGATTACTGACAAGACATAACCCCAAAAATAATATTGGGTTTTCGTGGTTTTCATTTTCGAAACGAAAATACTGACAATATGAATCTAGGTAAAGAAAAAATTAAGACTGAGCTAAATTAATTGAAACTTCAGGTTGATTTATGTTTGGAACCTATGGTACCACATATTCCAAAAACCCCGATAAAAAACAGTCCTTTACTAGATCATAAAAAATCTAACAATTTCAGGAAAATCAGTTACCTCAAGGTAGGAATTTAGTTTAATGTCTGTTGTTTTGAATACAAAAGCACGATTTTTTTTTAGGGGAACCAGCCAATAAAAAATAAAAAGAACAACTTTCCTTCTCCACTAAAAAGAAATCCAAAATAAGCAACACAATTTCTAAACCTTCCATCAGTCAATTCTTTAAAATTGCTCATAATTTAAATATATTTAACGAACATGATTATTGTTAAATAATATATTAAAAAAAGAAAAAGTAAAATCAGTGACAATAAAGACATACACAAGTAGTCTCGGCTCGGATATACCCAGTCCATTCGCTTTATTTTTTTAAATGTAAAATTGATGAAACAAAAAGTTACTAGATTTTGGCACATTGTAAATTAATTACATCATGTAATTATTTGTCAGGTGGCAATTGTCAAAATAATTTTGAATTTGTCAAGTTGTTAAAAATTTGTATATTTTGATATTTCAAAAGTGTCCATGTTATAGTTGGACAAAAGATAAAAGGGTAAAATGGTTGTAGGAAAAGAACATTAGTCAATGGTATGAAATATCAGATTTGGGAAGTTGTATGTCAATATCTACCACGAAAAGAATTCCACCTAGATATATTGAGGAATATGGGCATAAAATATTAAGAACTTCCCCACATCACTGCCAGTACAATGCCATAGAGATGATGTGGTCACAGTGCAAATGGTTTTATGATGAAAAAGTTTTAACAACAATGTCTTCACCGGAAGATGTATTTCAGACTTTGTCAGAAGCTTTGAAATAATGTTACTGATATAATACTGGGATAATTATGCAAGACACACTAAAAACATAATTGTTTCCAATTGGGAAATATACAAGCTATTAGATGTTTCTGATTTAAAACCAATTATTATTAATTTAGGTACGACCACAAGTAGTGATGAGACTGAAAATATATGAGTTATCCAAGAAATATTTTCTGTGCCTCTTGTTATAATATATTTTTTTAACAAAGAATCTGTTTCACAAATTTACACCTGTTCTGGATGATCTTTAAAAAGCTAAAAACCAATGTTCAGCTGGGAAATTATTTATAAAGTACGAAAGTAAACTGTTCTAGTATTTGTAGACAAATTTTAAAACGTAATCTTAATTTTTTCAAAATGACTTCTTGCATTTGTGTAAACACACCTTAATAAAGTTTAAGCTGCTAAACAACAACAAAGCACAACTGAAATCAGAAGACACCTGCAAACTGTAACTAAAAATGTGATACTCTTTTGTTAGAGGACTTGGGTATTTCTATCACTTTACCTACCTACCTACATAGGTACAAGACATCAATTCTCAGATATATTCATCAATTAAATAACCTTGCTTATTATCAAGGGGTTGACAAAGACACATCCAAAGCCAAATGAAGATATCTGGGATTCTAGTTGGAAGGGATGCTGGACATAGACATTCATTCCCAACATTGAACAGTGGGTTAGTCGATCGTTGGAGAAGTAGACTATTTTATAACTCGAGCGCTAGCGGACATGGATGTAACAGAAAATAATAATAATCTTTATTTGAGAAAATGCTAACATTATTTACCTATAGATGAAAAATATATCGACGCATAATGAAATTATGACATTGATAAAAATGCGAGAGCACTTTTTTGGTGCAATGGGAAACAGTAAAGGTGGTGTTTTTAGCCATAAGAGTCCGACACACTCAAAGAGAGTGTCCATGATAATTTTTACCATCAAGAAGCTAAAAAAAATTCAAAGAATTAATATAATAATTTTTGGCAATTTAAATATATGTTCAAATGTTCACATTAAATATCAATACATGTATTTTCAATTTGTAATATATTTTATTTAAAATATATATTCAATCCTTGTTTTGAAAATGACACTACATCTATACCCTTCTTTCAAAATGGTCAATGATAATTCTAAAATAAATCGGTCAATAATATAAAATAAAATTAGTTTATAATCGACACCTATGCCTGTGTTAAATTTTCTGAATTAACAAATTTAAAAATTAGTTATTTTGTATGTGGAAGTAAATTACGATCAAATAATGCATACAGATCGTTACATATTTGAATAGTTTAAAATTTTAATATTCCCGCCACTAGAAATGATCTAAATTTGGCAACATCGCGGATAATATCTACGGATGTAGCCGCTCCTCTATGTGCTTTGTGATCACATACTATTATAAGTATGTGTTTGTGATATAAATCCTTTCATACGTGGTCTCTTCTGATGGCCGATATCCGTCGCAACCACAGGTCGCAACGCAACGGCAGTGTTCATCAAACTAACAAAACAGAACCCAAAACGAACGTAACCAAATTGACATAACCTTAACCTCACTTTTTATGAAAAATTAGAATGTTTTTCTCAAATATTTCCAAATTTTTTAAAAGAAGAAGTGTAAAGTATGGTCTGCCTTTTTTCGTACTTATGGTTGGAGGATCCTTTGGCCTGAGGGAATTTACAAGTCTTAGGTATCAATTTTCCAAGGTGTCTAAAATACGACCAGAAGAATTGGAAAAATATGGAATAGAAATGAAAAAATCTGGTCAAGTAACGTTAGAATCCGAATTTGAGAAAATTAAAGAAATAGATATTGATAATTGGAAACAAGTAAGGGGTCCAAGGCCGTGGGAAGAAAATATTCAAAGTAATTAAGTTGCTTTTGAATTTAATCCCAGAATATAGAACATTTTATCTGTGATATTCCTACATAAATAATGTAGCAAAAATAGCTTTTAGTAAATGTAGAAGGCATACTTTATCTATTCATGTTTCTGTGACTTTATAAAAATAAATATAAGCTTAAGCAATTGTTATTTAAATACAATACCTCCTTAACAAAAAAATAGAAATATATACTCAAATTGTAATATACCTAATAAAATTATTTGTACACGTTTAGGTAGATATCTAGTTCGACCTATTTTTATTTACGAAAAAATATATGTAATGAAAAACTAAGTTCCATATCTTGTGCAAATGAATGACACAATTTTTTTAAATAAAAATGTGCCATGTTTTTCATAATATCAACAATTTTAGGAGAAATAAAGTGAATAGGGGCGTTGGGTGGGTAAAACAATGTCATTAATTATGTATTACAATATATTGTTAGGACAAGGAAAATTATTAGAAATGAATTGCTGTACTATTTGACAATAAATAATAAGATAGTAAACTTTTTGTGAGACTTGGTAATAGACTAAGATGTAAGAGTAACAAGCAGGATTGTCAGATTGGGCGATTTATCGCAGATTGGGCTACTTTTGAAACAATTTTGTGATCAATTTTCCGATTCTGCAACCATTCGCAGATTATACTATTTTCATATTATAGTTCAGAGCTGTATCTTTTATAATAAAAAAGTCGCCGTCACTTGTCATTGATAACACATTGAACTTAGACTTAAGTGGTCATACTGTTGCTCAAACCCTTCGATTTAATGTTTCAAGTAGATATTTAATTTTGTTAAAAAAATTATTTAAATAAAAGATATATAAAAATTAGACAAGTGCCATATCCCACTGTTACTTAACCATGCCGTACGCCATTGTTTAAGTTTATTTAACTGATTTTATGGCTGATAGGCGTATCTAATGAAAACAAAAATTTAGTAAACTTATACTGATAATTTTTGAATTTAAACTTATCACTCTGTATTTCGAAAACGAATAACATTTTACCTGAGCATGTTTCATTTAATCGGCTTATTTTTAATCAGATAATTTTCAGTTGTTCTATGTCTTATTATTAATTGAACACCCTGTATAAAGGATGCTGGTTTACGTTAATGTCTGTGTTATTACAATAAATATACCTTTTAATGTAAATGAATGTTTGAAATGACGGTATACCGCAGATATGTATCTGTATGTATATATCTCATTACATCATAAATATACTTTCGAATCTAAATGTTTTAAAATGCTGGTATACCGCAGGTATTGATATGAATGATGCTGCTTTACCTTAATGTCTTCCTGCGTAAAAACGTTCTAGATAGAAGATATAGTCATAGGCACCATCACACAAGGGCATTGAATTCTTGCAGACATCAAATTGTATAATTTCTTTATATCCTGCTAAATTCTCATAAAGATTTATTTACCAACAATCAGTCATATCTAAATAAATTATAAATAAAATGTTGACATCCACTTCTTGTGAACCACTTTGAAATAATGGCATACAACCTCAACATAATATTTTGTTTGGATGTATCGGTTATCCAGAAATTAATGAAGTGACACCAACAAGGAGTTTGGAGAAAGTTCTGCTTTTATTATAATCAGAATATGTATAGTTCAAAAACATTCAACATTTCACGTACTTCTGTGATTTTTCTGTTTATTCACTTCACTTCTTAATGTATTTTGTTATGTATTTTATTATTGTTATTTTTGATGTATTTAAAAATTTTATGTGAATAAACATTATTATTATCTTATAATGCTCCTGTCATGTCATTTTAAGTGTATACTTGCTATCATTAGTGGCCTAAATAATAATAATAAAAAAATATTGCAAACAAATAATGGATATAATTATGTAAAAAGGTTTTTATATGAAAAAATGATTCAAAACATGGAATATAAACAATATTTAAAAAATGAAAAGTTATATTCATCAATAAAATAAGTCTTTATACAGCTATATACAAATAAATGTGTTAAATAATAAAACGACAAGCCTTAAAAATATCACTTTTTCTAAATAATACTTCACGTAAACACTTTTTTGTGCACTTGCTGCCTTAACAAAACAATACTATTATACAACTTTACAGCTGGACCAACCTTAAATTTCAAAATAGAGACAATGTCCTTTTGGCTAAGAGAAAGAAAGGCTTCTCCATCGATTTTTTCTGTATAAAATTTGTCACAATGACTTGCACAACTCGGTAAGTTTGATACAAAATTGACCACCTCCCGATTAGTCCAAAATCGAGGATCGAACTCTGTTTTTATAAATTTTTGCAAAAACTCTGAATGTTTTTGCCAAGATTCACGCTCCGCGGGTAAAATGTTTAGTTGTTGTATATATTCTAATGCCTTCGTTTCAGATGATTGTTCGTCTGGATCCATTTTTACTTTCTTTCGATATTTCTTTCTTGGTTTTTTCTCTGGCGGTGGTCCTTCTTCCTCATCATCATCTGGTATTATTTCTATAGGTTCTGGTTTTATCTCCATACGAGGATGTTTTGGAGGACGACCAAGTCTTGGTTTGCTAAACATAAAAGAACCCAGTTTAAAACTCATGGTAAAAAATATACATTATTTAACCAATTAATATGAGTTCATATTTTGTAATTTTTGAACATCACTGCAACTGGTTGCATTCGACAGAAAATAATTGTTTCCTTTGTGGTTATGCTTAATTTAAGTATTTTTGGGTACTGTAAAATGGATTAGATTTTTTTGTATTGTACATGATTGGCCATTGATTTTTTAAATCTTTTTTATTTACTTCACATTTAGTATGGCAATATTTGCCGTTTCACTGTTGTCTCGGTCTCCTGACGTTTGTCGCGCGTTCCCAAATGGTACCTTTAACTTGTTAAATATTTTTTTTTTTCTCTTAATCATGTGAATCAATTATCTAAATTATTAGTTATTGTGAAATTACAGTGCATAAATGGTAAACATAAATAGGAACCCTTTCAAACGGTACGCCATTGAGAATGGTGGACCTACCCCTCTCCCCTTACCTCTAAAGTGATGGCCTGGCTTATACATAACAACATAAATTGAATCTTATATGCCCAATAATGACATTTTTTATCTATGATTTGACACATCGTGGTTACTTTAAAAAATTAAAATATCAAAGTTTATTTCGTGTTTTATTCTTTTCAATAACCTATTATTAATCTAAAATCAAATAAATCAGTTCTTTCCAGGACTAACTAGATAATTGTATTGGTTTTTTTTTCTCGTGCTTTTTTTTAATTTGATACTAACAATTATAATAACAATTATTCAATACATTTTGTATTCATCTTTTCTATTTCCAGAACATGAATATTATTTAAGCATAAGAATTTTTTCATTTTGTTCCAATCGCAGCAATTACTGGATTACTAGTCAAATATTCTAGGTTAGTGTTTACCAGCGACATTTTAGTAATAATAGGTACTGTGAATGGTTGAGTGAGAAATAATTAGTAAATTAGTATTTAGAAACAATGCAATAGAAAATAAACCACGAAACTTCTCATAGCATAAAACATTACAGGATTTTGTGAAGGTGTACTCAGAACAATATAAAAAGTAGTATATTATTCTCTCAAATAATTTATAATCAGTAAAAAACCGCTAAGAAATAATTATCTTTAAGTAAACAGAAACTCACAGTTTGCAATCTTTTGGTTCTCGTGTAACTGGTACTACTGCTTCAGGTGTTTTGTCAGGACTGAGAAGTCTATCAGGCAGGATTTTCTCAATGTCAAGATTTTCATCAGCATACGGGCAATGCTTTTGAATAGAGTGAGTTGCGAATTTGGGACCCTTTATATGTCCTTGTCCTCTACAACCTACGGTGGGACACTCTAAGAAGTCGTAGACATCATCTGGAGCTGAAATGGGAATTCTCATGAAACTTTTTTATTTACAAAATTGTGTGTAAATAAGATTTCGACTAAATAACATTTCCAAATAAATTGTATTAGATTTACAAAATTAAAATGGTATTGTCTATTTTTTCTTAACGATTTGTGTAGATTTTGTAATACTTTTAATGATACCAAAGTGATTACAACAGTATTATATATTTATTAACGGGAAACCCACATTTTACAACAAGTAAAAAATATATGTTATAAGCACAAATACTAAAAGCCCATATTTTGTCTACGGTATCTAATATAAAAAGTTTAATTAGCTCTGGTTGTGCTATTAATTTTAAGACCAATTTTTAATAACATATCAGGAGAATATATTGGGTCGTTTCATATCAAATCAACCAGAGGTTTGGCAGACCATCTCACCGATTTTATTAAAATTTGGTACACTGATTCTCTATATGGGTGGGATGAAAAATCCAAAATATATTTTTTTCTGATAAGTAGTTTTTTTTATTAATTTTCAAAAATCGAAAACTTGACCAATTTTGGTCCAACACAGCTTCACAAAAATTAGAATATCTTGAGGACCACTTATCGATGAGATATAGCTCGTTGTAAAAAATTGCTTTTCGCCGGAAACAGTGGCACGCATTCAGTGTGCGTTTGCCTCATCCATCACAATATTAAATTGATGACGTTTCCAGACTACCACGCATGTTTGGCAAAAATAATGTGCAATCCAGCAAGCGTAGATTGTTACCTCGGTAAATGTAAATGTGAACTGAAATTCTAAAAGGAATTTTAATGAAAAAGTTTGATGAATTTTTTATTGATAATGTTACAGACAATAAGTGGGTTTCTGTGGATCGCTGTAACATGGAGACAATTATTAAACCCATTGAATATTTTCTTGAGGAATTTGTGTAAGATATAGTTAAACTAAAAACACACTCGTTTATTTCCACTAGGCAAAAAGATTTTTACAATCAGACTAAAACAAATTTAATAACGGGAGAAGTACTTATCACTTGTGATTTTGCCGAAAATTATGTTTTGTCTTACAGGATGAAGTCCTGACTGGACTACCAGTCAGGAAACACTTCATTTGTAATACATTACAAAGATGAAAATGAAATGAAGCATTTGAATTGTATTTACATTTCAGATTGCTTAAACCATAACACAATAGCTTTTCATTTGTTTTTAAAGGATTTAATACCTGAGCTTAAAAATAAAATCAAGATCCTTACAAACATTTTCTATTTTTCTGATGAGGAAGAATTTGGAGTAAAGGTTGAATGACACTTTTTTGCTACGTCCACAGGCAAGAGTGCTTGCGACGGGCTCGGTGGGACAGTAAAACGGTTGGCTACCAGGGCTAGTTTGCAAAGACCTTATGAAAAACAAATCATGACTCCAGAGCAACTGTTTGAGTTTGCAAAAGAAAACATTCAGGGAATCATAAATATTTAAGTTTATCACGACTGCTGATTTGGAAAAGTATTCAAAATATTTGGAAAAAAAGGTTTGCTGTTGCACAGACGATTCCAGGAACCCAAAAAATCCATTCTGTCGTTCCAGTGTCAAAGTCAAAAATTGTCACAAAAGGTTTCTCATTGAGCTCAGAAGAACAAACACATGAACTAATACAGTGTTCTGAAATAACAAATTTAGAGCTTATGCATATCCACTCGAGTTTTGTTCGTGTTGAATATGACAAATTATGGTGGTTGGCATGTATTACTGGAAAAAATGAGGAAACTAATGAACTCAAAATCAGTTTTTTTATATTCAAATGGGCCAACTAGTTCATTTTCCTACCCTAAGCCTAAAGCAGATCTACTGATAATAAAGAAAGTTACTATATTAAGGAAAGTTCAGCCTCGTACTGCTACTTGTCGGACATATACTTTAACTAGGGAAGAAATGATTGAATCTTCAAACATTTTGGAAAGAAAAATTAAAACCAAAAACTATTTGGAAATATTTTTTCATAGTAATATAAGTATATTTCTTTTAAAATTTAGTTAGTCTTAAGAAAATGACAAAAATAAGGCCAAAAATGTTCATAATTTTCACATTTTAATTAAATTTTCACATGTTTTCTTGTTTTTATTTTATACTGAACCCATGATTTCTCCATTTTGGAATTTGGCACATATTTTGCCAAAGCATTGATAAAAAAAACATTTTTTTTTTTTCAAAAAAATCAAAAATGACTTGAAAAATCAAAAAAGGTTTTTTTCAACATTTCAAAAAGAACAGGTCATGTGACACATCGTTGGAAAGGTGTTTAAATCACCTTTACAACGAGCTATATCTTATTGATCTACGATTAGTAGTTCTCAAGATATTGTACTTTTTGTGAAGTTGTGTTGGACCAAAATTGGTAAATTTTTCGATTTCTGAAAATAAATTAAAAAAACTACTGATCAGAAAAAAAAAATATTTTGGATTTTTCATCCCACCCATATAGAGAATCAGTGTACCAAATTTTATCAAAATCGGTGAGATGATCTACCATACCTCTTTTTATTTTGGTTGGTTTGATATGAAATGACCCTATTGACCTAGACAAAAAGTTGAAAAAGAAGCATAGATCTAATTGAGTTTTCCGGTTCTGCAAAGATGAGATCTCTAATCTGGAACATAGGTCAGCATAATAATAACTATAATTATTTACATGCACCCCTAATTTAAATGCTGAGCATCTCAGAAACTTATGTTAAACTATTTCAAGTCTATTAATTTGAGTGCAATAATAAGGGCTCCAAATAACAGCTGCATATTCCACATTAGAACGAACAAGAGTGTAGTAAAGAATTTTAAAAGAATTCATTGAGATACCATTAGAAATTTTTTATTCATAACCCACCAACTTTCTGGCTTTTACTGATATCAATATAATTATAATGTGGACTTAAAAAGTAAGTTTTTCATTAAAAATTGCGCCAAGGACCTTTATTTGTATCCTCAATTTAAGATCCAATGAATTGATACAATACGTACCAGAATAGTATGTCACCTGTTAAACATAAAAAAATACTTAAATTCAAATTCATAAATTTACATTATACCATAATGCTACGTTGTTAATTTCAGTTTGTAAAATGAAACAATGAGATATACTGTCTACAATTTTAAAGATTTTAAGTTCATCTGCAAATAGAAAGAACTGAGATCATTTTATAAAACACGCAATGTCATTCACAAATAGATTAATAAGAAGCGGACTACAATGAGATCCTTAAGGAACACCAGACAATACTTCAATCAATTAAGAAATGTGATTCCCAATTTTGACCCTCTGCAACATACCAATTAAAAAACTACATAGCCAATTTAAAAGTTTGCCACTGATACCATCTAATTGTAATGCTTCTTGGATAGGGGGCTAACTATAAGTACTGTGTGACTAATAGAGAAAGTTTTAGATATTTAAATAGTGTTTTAGATTTATTTCGTATTTCGTTAAGATAATATTACTAGTAAATGAGTTCCACAATTTTAAACTTGTTTAATAGGTTCAATAATCTTACTAAATAAAAGTAATCTAATATTAAACTATCAAAATATTAAAAATCTGGTCAGGTAAAGTTAGTGTTTTTGAGAAGTATCCTAAAATTTAAATATACAGGGTTGTTTAAGGATTTTTACATAATGGATTCCATGAATATCATTTGACCATGATGCCTGTTTGTATCTGTAGCCTTATAACTCAAAAACGAATAAAGAGAAAAACAAAAAATCTTAAGCTTTATTTTAATGTACAAATAACTAAATGTAAACAACTCATTTAAAATATAATCTTGTATTAAATGGGTCGTTAATTAGATTCAACAATATGTTTACCTGCAGTAAAATTGTTTAAAACCCTAAACCCCTTGATTGCATTTAGGCACATAAAAGAGATAGAACATCATTATGTTCCCTAATATATTTATTTATTTACGAGCAAGCCCATTTAAGTTACAATAAATTGTTACATATATTTTGAATGTAGTGCTTAAATCTATTTACAGAAGAATAAAATATAATATTATCCAGAAAGTTTTCCAATATAAATATCCGAAGAATACAACTATTAAAAGTACTACCTAGTCTATAAAAAGGAATATAAAATCTTTATGATTGCTTGGTATTACGAGTAGGAACAAAAAGATAGAAGATTTCAGGATAATCATATCTTCAATTAACAATATTAAGAAGTATGATCAGGTCTTTGGGATTATGCTTATTCTAAATATGGGACGGTAGGTTTTAATGTCACATTTTTTACCGGACTTGTATACTGGTATGACATATGAGAGTTTCCAATAATCCGGAAAATCTCCCGTATCCAATGATTTGTCGAGACAATATAAAGCTGCAGTTTTTCAGAAGTAAGGGGAAATCGCATCAGCAACTGGTCCCTTTATTTTATCATATTGTGACGATAGTCTAATTTATTTTGAGTTTATTTATTTAAACGTACTGGCTAGCCGACCACCGGCGGTAGTTGAATTTAATAAATCGAAAACCGTCTTCCGGCGGCATGGTCTTCTCACATATAAGAAAGCCGCCGAAAATCTAAACTGATTTGTTGATGAGGGCGGCAGGCTATCAGAGTATTGATAAGGCTGCCGGACGACGGTCTACTGTATTTGAAACATTAAATGCCGCCCGAAAAAACTCACGTATCGGAGACAACACTAATCATTTGTAATTGCTGTGGTGGGAGGTGTTTGTGTGAATGCGTCTTGTTTGTTTTCATTTACACCGTGACTAGGGTAGTATTTTATAAACCTTAGAAGCAAATTTCACATACATGAACAAATAATAATAATAATAATACCGTGACAACAAGAAGACGAAGTAACGACTCGTAGTAGGGCGGCGAGGGTGGCGGCTTCGCCGCCACCATAACATTTCAATCCATACCAGGCTACGCCGACCGGCATAAACACCAACGGCCTATTCTCATCCTATTCTGTCAAAAGGAGACCGATGTACAAATAAAACGCGTATGACATATGATCATTTGCCACAAAAATGTAGACGATTTTACAAGTATTTTTTCTTACCACCGGCATTCAATGTTTTAAATACAGTAGACCGTCGTCCGGCGGCATTTTTCAATTTACTGATAGCATGCCGCCCTGATCAACAAATCAGTTTAGATTTGCGGCGACTTTCCTGTATGAAGAAGACCATGCCGCCGGAAGACGGTTTTCTTTTCAACAAACGCAAGCACCGCCGGCGGTCGGTTAGCCAGTATGTTATTTAAAACACACTATTTACAATTTATTTGTGACATACTAATTAATTTATATAATACTTAGACACTAACACACAATTCTAATTTATTTATTACAATTTTCAGTCCAATACTTTATACTAAACTAAACGGTTCGCCGATGAGCCGGACTATTTATACCAAGTCCAACTCTGCTACGAGAAGTCTCTAGACGCTCCCGAAAATTCCATCTCTGACTCAACAGCACGCATCACCCGTTGTGGTATATTCAAGAAGCGGTCCGACTGTCTCCACACATCAGCGGTGCTTCGATCATGAATCGAGTGGCACGCTGAAGGTCGCTTGCTTTAGACAGGGTCGGCTTAGGAATTTCCATAACAATATTTAGCTAACTTCTTGAAATTGAATATGATATGAGCATACATTAGGTTCCGATTCAATGTTACGTTCATACAGATCGATATTAATTCTGATTGATGTAGACTGAAGAAAAATCGACGGCAAATAAATTGGCTATTTCCAAGCCCAAAGCAGTTTCAAATCAATTCATTGTATCTAGACTAACAATATTCTCTTTTTTGCTGTTAACAAAATTCCAGAAGGTCTTAATATTACTTTTAACAGAGGTTTGAATAGAGTTTACATAGTTTAAATAACACTCTCTGGACAAGAGTTTACAGCGAGCTCTTAGACTACTAAATAAGGCATAATTTTCGGGAGAAATTGTACTTTTAAAAATATTATGAACAATATTCTTATCATAAATCAAGTTTCTAAGATGCAGTAGATACCAGCATGGACTTTTTTTGTAATTTCTTAAGTGAAACAAATAATTCCAATACAGTGCATCATAGAAAGTATTTACCATATCAGTTCTTTATTACGAAGGAGTGTGTCCCAGTCAATGACTTCAAAGCACTGGTATATGGATGGCAGTAAAATCGGCATTACGAAAGTCGTAATATTCTTCTTCATGCGTTGTGTCGATATTTGTCTTATATTCAAGAGTGGTTACAAGCGGAAGGTGGTGAGCATCAGGTGGGAACAGAACATCGCCAGTAAGTTCAATTTGGGAAAGAACAAGATCAAAAATAACTTTCCTTTCGTTAAAAATTTTGTTTGAATAGGTTTGAAATCTATAGCCTCCGTATCTGCTTGTGATGAGAAATTAGATGAAGATCTGTGGATAAAATGTCCTAAATATGAAGCAGTAGGAAGATTGTAATCTCCAAAAACAAAAACTTTAGAGTCTGAATGGTGATCTTTAAATGTTTCAACTTGAACATAGATATATGATATGAATTGGGATGAGAAAGTGGGTGTACCCAAAATAAATTTATTGTTTCCATTGGAAACAAAAAATGGTTCAATTGCTGAGTTAGATGTAATAAGGCAGCTAAAAAAATTTTCTTTACTGCAATCAAAACACCTGCTCTCTACTTGAAGTACTCGATTCGCCTGTGTGATCTTGTCTGTAGATTTTGTATTTATAAAGACCTAGTTCAGCATCCGCAATATCAGCAAATAATCAAGTTTCAGGGAAAATAGTTATATCATAGTACCAATTTAAGATATTAAGGCAAAGTTTAGATAATTTGGTGCATAATCCTCTAACATTTTGGTAATACAGAGAGAGCTTGTCCGAGTCAATGGACTTTATTAGAACATTATTAAAATATGTTATTTGCTCCCTAATAAGCAAAGGGGCTTTTTATATGTGAGTTGAATGTCTATTTGAAAATAGATATTAAATTTTCGAAAGCAGAGTCAACTGTCTAGAGAAGAAAGGAGTTCAGTATTTAATTGGCAGAATGTAGTACAGGTTCAAGAGGTAGACATTTTATTTATATGTCATCCTTCAAGGCTTATTTTTAGTTAAAATGAAAATTTTTAATCATCTGATCTGCCCAATAAAAGTTTCCATTTAGATTTAATCGTGTTTCCATGGTTTTTACCGTAATAACAATTTTCTTTTGATAGATAAGTCAGATTTTATTTACTCATAGCCCTATCGTATGTATTTTAATTGATTCGGAATTTTGTATTAGTATATATTATAATTTTACAGTTATATAAGAATGGCGAGTGCATTAGAAAATATTGCAAGCACAAGTACGAGTAAATGACCTAGTGGACATAAAGCATTATCTTTAGAAGAAAAAAATATCGTACTTAATGTATTTAATAATCTTCGAAAAGACTTTGTTTCACTTTCTTTGGATTAAATAGCCACTGAATGTGAGACCGATACTGGAGTATCTAAGCGAACAGTGTTTAACATTATTAAAGAAGATACAGTTATTGGAGAAAAAATCTTGGGTAAAGAATGTAATAAGGCAAAAACATCCAGGATAGAGATTTAATTGTGACTTCATTACTGTTCACTACTTTTCCAGACATGTCCATCGAACTAGTCCAAAAATTACTTTTTATGAAAAGTCCCATCACTAGTTTACAAAATTATTTACTTACTTACTTATATATCTTAAAAAAGCAAATTTTATTGATACTGAACCCAAAAATGTTTGAATCATTAATTATATCAAATTTAACTAAATTATATATAATTTCACTAAATTAGATGTAATAATTTTCAATGAATTCCAAAACGTGTCATGTTAAGTTGGATATCAAGTATTTTTTACGAAATGTGACAACAGCTAACATTTTGTAGGCGGAGCATATTACGTTGTTTATTATGAGCTTACACAACGGCTTACAAAATATTCATTCATCATTTCATCAAGTTGTTAGAAATTACCGAATTTACTTATCATAGACGTACCAATTTCGAAAAATATCTTATTATTTTTAAACAATTTTATTAGTATTATTAATGTTTGGAATTAACCATGGTTATCCATCAACCTTAACAAATCAGCAGAAGATACGAAATATTAAAATTGGTCCTGGGAATATTTATAAAAATCTCAAAGTACTTGATTAATCTTATGTAAAAATCGAATTTGTGCAAAAAAAATCTGCATTTTTTTATTAACACTTTAAAACAGGTTTTAAAATGATTTAATTTAACTGAGCGTTGCCTTCAAGTTTCGGTAATGTTATTCGGCCTAGGTAGGTCAATAAGTTATTATTTCACTATTCAAAAAAATCTTGAGGAAACTACGATTATTAATATAGCTTTTTTGACTTTTATTATGGGTTCGCGTTTCCACGGATAAATTTTTTATCAAAACAGCACAAAGCCATGCAATATTTATCACAAAATTCAAAATAAAATTTTTCGTACCTACGAATAATTCAGTACATTAGGATCAATTAAATAAATAAATCACAAAACCTCTCAAAATATATTTTTTAGATCTTTAAAATAACTAGTTTCATCAGATAAACATTCTATAAAAACAGCAGAAGATAATATTGAGCACGTAATTTCAAATAGGTACAATTTTTTTACGAATAATTCAGAACATTACTATCAATTTAATAAATAAAAAACATTTAGGAACAAATCTTTTACTTGTAATTTTTAGCTATTGCATTCAGGTAGAATTTCCATCAACTACTTTGTTGAAGCAACACTATAGATTATTTACAGAGGTCCATAAATATATATTGATTACCTACCTGTTTTGAATTCTATGTTTGTTTTAATATAGAAACCTTGCCGTATTGTAAAAAGGGTTGCATTCTGCGTTTTTTTATCTTTAATGGCCATTTGCATGATTCATATGATAAAAACCTGCGATTGTGATAGTTCCTTATTGTCCCCTTTTTTAGGACATAATCAATAGCCTAACTATCCACTGAAACTATCTACTTCCAGGTATAATATTTAGCAACATTGCAACAATTTGTAATTATCTTGTTGGCTACTTATTATAAACAATAATAGTTTTTTTTTTAAAAGTAAAGACATTATTTTTTAAGTAAAAATTAAAAATTCGAATGTGTTGTTATAGCTAATTATAATATTAGAACCAACAGATATTAGCATCAGCATCATATTACTATAAATGAAAATACAATTGTAAATACTTACTTAATGGAGGTTCAATTGGATGTCCAGTCTTTTGACACCAGCCCATAGGATGTATATCAGGACTATCATCGTCCACCCAATAACTGTATTTATCGGGCCATCCATCGAAGTGGATTCTAATTTGGTGTTCCTTGACATCATCCACCGTTGCCACCCTTATGAGTTGAGGTACTCTTCGATCAACACATTCTAACCGCATCCCCCTTTTGAAGCCACAAGTTGGACGCTGTTTAAAAGCTCGAACTGGAGCTGGAGATGATTTTGTTTCTTTTAAGTATACTTCCCAGGAGAACGATTCTGGGTTTGGGTAGTCTGGAATGGTTTTGAGAATGTGCTTAACTGCGAAATTTGGAAAAAATACGTTATACATTAGCATCATTAGAGATGCTTTAATGATTTTAAAAACAAGAAAATACACTGTAAAACAGTTTCAATAGTATTAATTAGTCAACAGTATTTTTTAAGTTTGTAACTAGAGCTAGGTGACGCAATATATCATTCACAAAATATTAGAAACAACAAATTTAAGAGTTATGAACGTATTAAAAAATTGACTCAAAAGTGATTCCAAGTTACTAGGCTTATTTTTAAGATTATTTTATGAAATTTTCCATGCATATTTATGAGATCATGGAGTCACAATATTGATATAAAATATCTGATGGGTGTTACACGTGACATTCCTATAGTTATCAAATATACTGAGTGCTGCCAAAGTTTAGAATATGAATTTAAGATAAATATTTCCCACAAACATTTTATTGAAACATTTTTCATATCTTCATTGCCAACGAAAATATTGAAAAAAATAAAAATTTGGCACTTTTCTCAAATTTCTCCATTACGGTCTATTTTAGAGAAATCATGTATAGGACAATTTTGTAGATAATAACATCGCAAACAACTTTTATTTAAATAATTTTCTTCTCTGATCATAAATAATAGAAAAATAGATTGAAGTAGAAAAAAGTCCCCTTGTAAAGTACACCCCCAGATGCTTGGACTATGTAAAAACTTTATTGCAAGTAATATCATGTGTATTTTACATTTGGGGAGATTTTCTTATTCTAACCTGTTGTATTTCACAATAAAATTATTAAAAAAAAAACACATTTTAAATATTGTATAACTAATTTTTTTTAAAGACCGACCAGAAAGTATACACTTTCTGAACAATATTTCGTCCAGAAAGTAACGTTTTGCCGATCAAGACCGGAAAGTAGACGTTAGGGACCGGTAAAAGCTTTACTGGTCCCCATTTTTCATTTTTCCTATCCTTGTTTGATAATACAGTCTGCCTTGATTTCGTTACTATGGTAACAACGTTCCGATTTATTGCCAAGTGACAGTTCGTTGATTTTTAATTTGTTATTTAAGTCAAACTTGTTTTCGCAAATTTAAATATATGGATTCAGAATTCAGATTTTGAATTATCTGACATAGAAAATGAAATTCCAGAAGAAATTTTGGATGCAGCAAAAATGTACATTTAACATAAATATTCAAAAATAATGTTTTTGATTAGTTTATGCAGTTGTATCCATCATCTAGTTTTAGTATTTGTTAATCACTTTATTAAATAAAATAAATAATTGAGTTTACATCGAAGTGTCGGTCTTAAAAAAAATATTATACGTTACGCGACCGAAAATTAGTGTTAAGCAGGTATCTCCAAGCTTCCTACAAAACACTACTTTCCGGTCTTGTAACGTAAATTACTATTACAATGTATCATTAAATTGTGAAAATTCAAGATTTTTTAGATGAATATGCGATGAAAAACATATTAGGTACCTGTATTTTAATTATTTTAATTTTTCAATAGACTTTCAGCAATATCTCATTAGTATTTATTACTTCTAAAGGCCCCTATTCACATCACTCAAAATGGAATGAATCCGTTTGGATGGCATCCAAATGATGGATTTTACGTTTAGAAACTTTTTATTCACAGTCACTCCAAATGGATGCGTGAATAATGTAGTTGTTTGTGTTGTGTAGTGCACAAACAACTCGGGGTTTCACATTCATACAGCGCCACGCCACAGACTGCAAGCATAGTTCCTTGAATGTTTCTATGTCTGGATATCCAGCAAAACTACTACGCCACGCCTATACATTCAGTTTTAAACATTCACGGAAGGATTTTGAAAGCAGCCACTCCATTTGAACATTTTGCGTGCTCGTGAATGGGGGCCTTAAAATGTCCAGATATTTTTATGACAAATTTATTCTAATTTCGTTGAAAACCGACATATCTAACTATAAAAATGTATGTATATAAAAAATTACTTTATCACCAGTTTTGTGGTAACAACGCCCTTTTGACAGTACTACTTAAGTGTACGTTTTTGCGTAGGAATGCCAAATTAGAGTGCAATATTTTCGAGATAATTTTTTTTTAGTTAATCAATGTTTTATAAGAATTTGTTTCTCCAAAATAATGTTATCTAACATATTAACGAAATTTGGGGTATATACGCGAAAAAATGTAATTGGTACTAGCAAAAAAAGATTGTTGCCTCTTAATGTACCTATATCAAAAAATATGTATATAAAAAAAAATCGACCTGTCCAAGCATTTCTTGTTACTTGTTCTATAAAGCTGGAAGTCTGATGTTCTGCCAAGTATGCCAAACCCTGTATAATATTATGTCCAGTTGATTATTAGAAACTCCCCGATCAAGTCAAAATTGATAGCGATAACCGTAGCAGCACTTTATATTAAACGATGAGTGCCATATTTTTAGTATCTTACCATTTGGTGGAGTGAGATTATGTCCATATTGATCACACCATCCCACAGGATGGATGTAAGGAGAAGTTGGATCTGCCCAGTAATCATAAATGTCATCCCAGCTGTCAAAATGTACCAATATTCTATTATCCATCATATCCCTGACTGTTGCTACACATACGAGTGCAGTGTTTTTTCTATCAACTGCTTCTAGTTTCATTCCTACTCTAAATCCATTTGGACATATTGCCTAAAAATAAGCATTTAATATTTTTAAATGGAGACGGTATTATTTATCTGAAAAAATTTATTTTTTAGTTAGTTTTACACTACACAAGCTACAATTTTTGATAGTGCTAAGGAAGAAAGAATCAGCAATTGTGTCACAGAAATCAATAAGAGACCTCTTACCTTTGAAAAACAACTACTCCTCTGGTTATATATCCATAGGCATTGGATTATAACCAGAGAAAAACATTAGAGATAGAAACAATAGACAAAAATAATATAACCAGACAAGTAGTTTTCCAGAGGGAATCAGTCCCTGATTGATTCCCATGACCCAGATGTTGAATTTTCTTCATTATTTATATCTTGGTCACATTTGTGTTTGGCATTACTTTTTAAATAAAAGAACGTTTTTATGTTCCATAAATTTACCAAATAGAAAATCAATAAATAATAGTTTAAAAAAATAAAAAAACACTCTTTAATAGAAAAGCAAACTAAAAAGTAGAAAATATTTTTCAATAAATTTAAATTAATAGTGTAATTAACAAAAAAAAATTTATTGTAGAAAAGCGTGGGGTGCTTGATGTCAATTGTTATATTTTAATGACAGATATTGGTTTTAAAGTAGTGTCATTATGGAAATATCTTAAAAAGCACCCCACAGTTTTTTTATTTATTTTTTGTAAATTGTTACTTTTTGGGAAAAGGACAAACGATATCCTTTCTTCTGATGATTTTTGTTTGTAAACATTTGCAAACAACTCCAGGCATGTTATAATTTAAATTTTAAAAAATCAAACTACCGATATTACCAAAACTCTAACACTAGAAAATAGTCCAAAAATAAAAACAAAGAGACCACTAAATAATAATAAAATATTAGATATTTAAAAAAACTAATATATGAACCACAGCAGAATATTATCTATCGCCTCAATTGTTCATTATGTGACGTCACACCCCCGTCCCTAGTAACCTGATGAGACCACCGTTTCAGTCTATGAACTGTGGTTCAGAATATTAATGAAAAACTGCTTTAAAAACGCAATTTCTAGATGAAATTTTGGTCATAAGGAATTACCTCCTTCAATATTAAAATGACATTTAGGAACACCCTATATAATAAGAATATAATGCTGATAATACTATACTAGATGAAATTCATCCATAGTAATAGAAAATCTAAACTTTTACTAACCTGACCAGCCCTATTGGCAAACAGATGTTTTGGTGCAGCACTACATTTCGTATTCTTCAAATATTGTACCCAATTGAAGTTCTGCACAGTATACCCCGAAGGAGGTTGTAAAATATGGCCATACTTCTCACACCAACCCATTGGAAATATATCCATACTATCAGCATTGCACCAAAAATCATAATTATCAGGATAACCATCAAAATGCAGTCTAATTCTATAGCCGACTACTTCAGCGACAGTAAGAACACAAAAATAAGAGGGATGTTGGGGATCTACCCCTTCCAATTTCATCCCTGGACGAAAACCATTTCGAGTATAGGGAAATGGGTCTTTGAATAATTTTACAGGAGCAGGTTTAGCTTTAACATGGTCTAAGTATTTGGACCAAGAAAATCCTTTCTTTTTACATGCCCATGGATATGACATAAATTTATCTTGAGAAGAATTGTCAACAGAATCCTCTTCACTTTCTTCATTTTCTTGTTTGTCTAATTTTATTGTATCAGGTTCAACTTTCGTTTTTTTCTTTTTCTTCTTATACTTATCAGTTTTTTCTTTTTTATTGTTTTTTGTTTGAAAAGTATCTTGGCAATCAAAGCTGCAAAATTTAGGGTTAATAAAATCTGAAGACATTCCATAACACCCACATTCTAAGCATCGCATCTCTTCCTGGAACTCCGGTGTTTTCATTTTTTCCTTAGCCTTTGCCATGCGTTTCTCTATAATAGTTTTATACTCGTTATCAGTAATGTATTCAACTAAATTGAATTCATTTACTACAAATTTTATATTTGTACCTGGTAATGTACCTATGCCATCATCCCAATTTAATACTTTTTGTAGATCACAATCCTCAACTGTCATCAAAGGTTTTTCTTTGATTAATTCTATTTCCACTTCACTTGTCAATTTTTTCTTGGATTCTTCTAAATTCAATTTATTTATTTCAAAACAGGGTTTGACAAATGTTTCTTCTCCTAAATGATTTATAGAAGTCACCTCCATTTCATCATATTCCTTAATGCAGGTTAATGTAGATTTCCTTCGTCTCTCTTTTTCAGGCTTGTGAGTTTGAGGGATAGTAATAATTATATTTCCTGCTTCACTAGAAGCGGGTTGTGATACAAAGACTTCATTATTTTCTGAAATTGAAGTCAAATTATTACTAACTATAAAATTACTAGATTTATCTGCTTTACGATCTGTGAAAATGTAATTCTTTTTTAATATTGAAACACCATGTTTGGAAAACTTAGGTGTTTCCTTACCATTCGCCCTAGATAGTATCACAGAAGTCCTTACATCATTTTGAGAACTAGTAGAATCTTCAGTAATGCTAAGTTCATAAGTTTTATTGCTGAGGTCATTTTTTTCAGGACTATCCAAATCGATAATTTCATCACATACTAGTTTTTCACCACTATTGCTGTCTACGTCCATACTGTTTTCATTTGATCTGTTACCGCACTTCACAGTTATATTGCCAGAATCACCTTGTACATGTCCATCACTTATTTTAATATTACTATATACTTTCGGCTTAGTGATAATTGGTTCAGTATTCGGTACAGGCATTGGTAAAATAGCAAGTTTTGGTTGAACACAGTTTGTTGTTGAAGTTGTAGGTAGTCTGTTTGTAGTGATTTTCGGCATTGGCGCCAAAACAAATTTTTGTTGTGGATTTTGAGATTGGATAAAAGTATTATTACTGTTTAAAAAAGGATAACTGTCATTTACTTTAGGAATGTAAGACATATGATTATTATTCAAGTGAAATGCATTCACAGTGTTTATTTTTGTAGGATCATGATTGCTGGAAGGTTTTATCATAGTTAAAACCCCTGCTATTTTTGTACCTCCAGAAACTGACACTGGCACTAACGGTACAACATTTGCAGAATTTTTTTGGATGACCAATGGATGTGGTCGTCCAGTGAAAATTAGATTTGGGTTTGTTGCTACTGAAATAGAAGTGGTTGGAACGGAATTGTTTTTATTTCCATTTGGAGTTATTGTTGCTACTTGAAATTGTGGTATATTATTTACCACAACACTACTGTTCGTTTTGTTAACTGATGGAAATGGAATATTTGAATTATTCTGAATATAAACTAGTGGTAAAACTTGAGTTTTCACCGTAATCGCAGAATTTGAAGTTGGTGGCATACTTGATAATGTTGATGGTTCACATTTAGAGATGGTTACATCAGAGGAATTATTTTCTAAAATAAGTTGGCTATTGTTTGTATTAATAGTTATTTTGGAATTTTCCAATTCCTCCCGAGTTATTGATAACTCTGTGGACGTGAGGGAAGTCATGTCTGCAAAAACCGTAAAGAAAAAGTTATTTATTTTTCAAAAAATTTTCAACACTTAATATTTTGTTAAGATATACATGACCTGACACTCTAGCCAATTTAAAGCAAAGAAGGTTTCGTATAATAAAAAACAATGACAGCTATAATTGGCAAGTATAACAAATTTAAATATAAATATGAAATGTTTTAATTTGAGATAGATACAAAAGTCCTTGTCGACGGTTGTGAGTGATTCTATAAACCTCGTAAACTTTTACAATTCATAAAATAAAAATCAGGTTAAAGATTCTCTTTATTGCTAAACTCAAACCATAATATAAAAATTGATTAATAAATACCTTCAGAAAATCTCGATAACCATTGCACAATTAAAAAACTTAAATTTATGACAGGACCAAAAAGTATTCATCTATTTTCCACAAATATTCTTAAGATTATTATTGCGCATGACCAAATACAAGGAGGGGAGTTGATTTCCCTAAAATTAATTTTCCCGCGCTTAGGTTTTTTGAAAATTAATTGCTTTCAATTTACCAAAACAAAAAAATTATCTGATGAAACACTTTTAAATTAAACTAGTTTAGAGTTACTTAAAAAACATTAGAAAAATTTACCCGAGATGGAATTCGAATGTGCCTCCATTTGATGATAAACGACTTAGGTCATCAAGCAGATGATTATCTATAGACCTTTTACACATTATATTTTAATTGAATTACAAATTAAATTATACTTTGGATTTAATAATTATTTTCCAAATAAAATTTCGTCTCGGTAAATAAACAGGTATGTATTGTAGGTATTATTTTTTAATAGACGATATCACACAATGGGAAATGGAAGCCATTATTGAAATTAAATAAGAGTAGGAGTAAAACGGCTTTACCTAGCATAGGTAGGTACAATATTCGCTTGATTCTTAAACGCAACTAGAACCTAAAATTAAATCAATTCATTGAATACTTGTAAAATAGAATATATTGATTTACGCTCAAGATTAACATCTACCTACAAGTTAATTTTGTTAATAATTTTAACAAAATCCCCTCTCTTTCATCAAATAGCTACCTGCATTCGCATTGCTTAGTAGGTATCCAATTGAATGTTATAAATAAAAAATAATTGTTTAAAGCGTATTTAAATATTATTTTAGTTATAGTACAAAAACGGGTAGATACCTACATGGAATTTGTTAGTAAACATATAGGTAGTTAAAAAATATTGGTTAAGAAAACTTTTAAAATCCAGAAAGGTTAATGACAATTAAAACATTTAAAACTAGTTTATGTAGATATCGGTTTAGCAATGGTATATGTTTTATTTTTATAATAAGTATAATTAACAATAATTAATTCTGAGATAAATAATAAATTAATTAAATATTTACCTGCTTGCCAGTTGCTGGGATAGCTAGAGCGCATGCGTACCTAGAATAAGATATGAAAGGAGAAAACAGCTGGTTCCCCTCACCTCACGTCTTGAATTTTCTTGGTGTGTACAAAATCCAACTATTTGACAAGTGATTGTTTTGGTAAAATTTAAAGTGATTGTCCTAAATATTTATTGTGATGATTAGAAATGTATCATATGAAGGGCATTGAAGAATTTGATGACCTTAAAAGCGTTTGAAAATTGAAAAAATTACTATTTTATTAAGGTATATCTATGTACATGCACTTGTTTGTTATGCTTTTGTTGACGTAGAAAGTAAAATGTCGGGATTTATTTATATATTTTTTTAGTCAATCAAAATGGGCGGAGTAGTAAGTTCTGGACAGAATAACGATGATTTAATAGACAATTTGCTTGAAGCAGACTATATCAAAACGCCTATAGTTGAAAGAGTTTTTCGAGCTGTTGATAGAGCAGAATATTTTCTGCCTGAAGGCAGAGCTAATGCTTATAAAGACCTTGCATGGAAATACGGTAATTTACACTTATCAGCTCCATGTATCTACAGCGAAGTAATGGAAGGGTTGTGTCTAGAGCCAGGTTTATCATTTTTAAACCTTGGTTCAGGTACAGGGTATTTGAGTACAATGGTAGGACTTATTCTTGGTAGTTACGGAGTGAATCATGGTATAGAGTACCACAAAAATGTTGTTGTTTATGCTAACAAGAAATTAGAAGACTTTAAGAAGAACTCTGGGGCTATTGATGAATTTGATTACTGTGAACCCAAATTTATTCATGGAAATTGTTTGTGCCTTACCACTGATTGCAATGCTCAGTATGACAGAGTCTATTGTGGTGCAGCATGTCCAGAACAGTACGAGACTTATATGAAAAACTTGCTGAAAGTTGGTGGTATACTGGTGATGCCTTTGAATGATCAATTAATGCAAATCAAACGAACTTCTTTAACTAATTGGGAAGTAAGATCACTGTTGCCAGTATCTTTTGCTTCATTAGTACAGCCTGCTGAAGGCTATCAAGATTGGGTTCATCCAAGTAAGTAATATTTTTGTATTTTATTTTTTATACAAACACATTCTTCACATTGTAATATGAAGAAATATTAAATATATTTTTAAAGCAAAATTAAAAAACTGTTTAATAGATAATTGTGTGTACAGTATTGATGAGTACCTACCTTAGTAATGGTATGTTGTTTATACCGGATTTATTTTAGTTATAGTTTTATTTATATACCTGACTTATCCAATATCATGTACTATGATCTAAAAGGACAAATAAAGATTTATTATGTTATGTTGGGAATGGGATGTTAATACATTGCGATCTAAAAGATTATTGTGTCCCCTTCTGTCATTATAATGCAGCAAGCAAATGTCTGAGTGGCTATAACGACCCTTCCAATCCTATCTTCCCAAGGAAGTGTAGGATTTGGAGTGTCTTTAAGTTAGGTAAATCTCCCTCTTCTATTAGATATGCTCCTTATAATGCCCTTGGATTCTGGAGTGCAACACATTCAGTTAGAATGTGAATGGAGGTTTCGTCCTCCTCTTCACAGAATCTGCACTCACTATCTTCTACTACTCTCAGTTTACTAAGGTGTCCTTTTAGTCAGAAATGCCCAGTAAGGATCCCTGTTACAATTCGTAGCCTATTCTTGCTCAGACAGATGCAGGCTCCTGATCTTTTCTGGTTATATTCACCCAGAAGTATCTTAACCCCAAGATATTGTTTAAATTTTCAGTTCTTCTACTGCCCAATTCTTTTTTTAATCTCTCCTAATATTACGTTACTGCTGATATGGCTCAGGTCCCACAAGGGGTGTTTGAGCCCCTTTCCCAGCTAGAATATCTGCCCCTCATTATATCCAGGGACCCAAGTGAGAGTAACTGTATTTTTCTCGCCTAGCTCATTCAATTGTTCTAGGCATCTCCAGACCATTTTTGAGGTGATTAAGTAAGAGCTCAGCACATTGATGGCAGCTTGGCTATCGGACATGATGATAATCTCTTGTCTATGATAGTTTCTCTCGATGTTAAACTGGATACACTCCTCGATGGCGTGAATTTCCGCCTAGAAGATGCTTGGGTATTTTGCCAAACTTTCAGAGTACCTGGTTCTAGGCCCATACACTCCTACAAGGAATAATAATCTATTTGCAATTCAACTTCACCTCACTAATTATGCTTATCATGCGCCCCTACCTAGACTAATGAGACTGGCTAATCAATACAATTTAGATGTCACTGGGTGTTCAATTAGTTAATTTCAGAATGATGTAAGGAGAATGTTTTTAATATCTTTAGTATATTTCATTTCATATATTTAATGTTAAATTTTTTTGTACCTACCTTTTATAATGTATTTAAGCTATTTTATGTAATTTATGTATACTAATGGATCTTTCCATAATTTATTTATTTATTCCAGTTCCTTCTATGGTTTAGGAACCATCTGTATTCCACTGAATAGCATGTCTTTCAGTAGCAAGAAGGATGGATTCTTGGCTCCATTCTTTCTTGCAGCCCTTCTCTGTGGTTTTGAAGTTTTTCACAAAACTGTACTTCTTTCTCATTTCGTTTTGGGGCATATCCCAAAATCCCAAGTATCTTCAGTCCTAAAGCTGTTAGACTTTCTGTTCCTAAATATTAAATAAGATCATATATAATTTAATCAAAATCAATTAGTGCATTATACTGTCTGTTAGCCATTTTCTAGAACACATTGAGATGTAAATTTTAAAATACATGCTCCTGATCAATCTATTTAAATAATATTGTACAATAGTTTTAGTCTTATTTCCAATTACCTGCATGATGGGTTTAAAATCAAAGGCGACAATTCCATTTTTTGCGAAAATGAGTTAAAATAAAAAAATGCGATCCAAATTCGATAAAATACCATTGAAATTTAATATTCAAATTCAGGGTGAGTTTCAAACCTGAAAATCTCCACGTGCCAGTTGGTACCAAAACCGGCCAAATCCCAAAGCGCCAATCAGGTTGCCGTATGGCATGACAATTTTCGTGTCCACCACCTTTAGTTTTGCTGGTTTTTGCAAACTGCAAATTTGTTGAAGAGTTACCAGTTGTTTTAATTTAGCTTAGTGTACTTACTGATTTATATTACCTGTTTACCTGTTAATAAATAATAATATGAACAACCCTTTAGTATTTTATGGAAATTTATTCTTATTTAAGAAGAAGAATAAACATTTTATAATACAAAATCAAATAAATTTACAATGAGAAATTATTCTTAAAATATGCACCTAGATGCAAAAACATGTGTATGTGCGATAGAAATAGATTAAAACTACATAAAATTAACAATACCTATAAACTAAATATTTGATGATTAAAAGGACATAAATATATAAGACTAGGTATTTATAACAAATTTATATCAAATATAAATTTTCTGGTCGCTTTAGAAAAGGTTTTTATGTTTTTTTTGTCTGATATTTTCACTTAAAGAGTTGTATACTTTTGGCCCAATTGAAGAAATTAATCTTTTATTTCCATCATATTTAAAGAATGGTACATTTAGCATTCTTCTCTTTTGTTTTCGGGTCATATAAGAGTGGTTTACAAAAATTTTGTTTTTCAGTTTGAAATATAGAACATACAACTAGAGTGAAAGTATAGTGATCTTACGTTTGGAGTGGATTCGTTGTATAAGAGGGTTGTTGAAAACAAACGACTTTTATGATTTATTATCTTTAAGAATGAATTTTGTTATAGTTAATTAAGTAATCTCCCATATTCAAAAATACAATTTACTGACATTTCTAATGAAAATTCCGGCCATTTCTTTAAAAATCCAGACAAAATATTAAAACTCTAAGTTACAAAATAATTACTAAATGTTTTATTTAAAAAGTACCATCAAAAACTAAAAACACTTCCTCAATTTAAAATTCAATAAATTAAACATAAAACATATAATACAAAGGGATACACAAGACAACAAGCCTGTATTAAATATTTACATAAAAAAATAAAAGAAAAGTAAATTTCAACAACCAAAAGAACTGTTTATATGAGATTTTAAGTATACCTTAATATGTTTGATGATTTTCCTGAAAATTCTGGGCAATTTATAATTCCTGGTGTTTTCCGGATAAAACGCCAAAATTCCGGATATTTCTGGTAACCCTATTCCTACACTTATTTAGAATCAAACATGGCAATCTTCCAAAGTGATTAGCAGAAGCAGCAATCTTCAATTTTTTCATTATTTATTAAAAACAACTATGACACATTTTTGATATTTAAATCAACACCAATAAGTAATTGTAAAAAAAATTATAAAACAACCCTACCTTCTTAGGAACTTAAAAACAGTTTTTCACAATTATCCAACATTCTAAAAAATGGAGATTTCCGCCTTTGGTTCTAGATCCCTCACATCTGATTATTATGTTCATTATAACCTCGATTATAACCTTTTGTGATTTGTATTGACCAAATGTGTACAATTTCTATTTATTTATCCAAATTAATTTTTTTCTACTCCATTTTATGGTAACAAACGTCATATAACAGTGATTGTATAATTTAATTAGAATGAAGATATATAATGCTTGGCATTCTACATGATACTCTTCACAGTTAAACAAACCTACTTTTAATCCCCCATTTTTGATCAGATTTTTTTTTAAATCAGTAAGCTTCCTCCCATTATTTAACTTCAACTCTTCATTCTTCTTTTTCTAAAGTTGTGAGGATTTATTGAATGGTTTCTGTACATTTTATGTCATAGCAGTTTATCTTGATCATCTAAAGTAGAGTTGTAAAAGCTTTTAACAAATATGTTACTTTGAAATTATAATATTTATTGCTAAAAATCATATAATTTCATATGTTGCTGAATAATTTTTTTTCTAGCTTGTGCGTTTGACCATCATCAATTTATTTTAATATGTAAATTATTCTAGTTGAAGTGGAACCAATGACTCTCCAAAGTTTGTGCCGCTCAGCTATAAGAAGCATCCTAAGAAAAAATATAGAAAGAGAACACCCACCTGTAAAGAGAATTCCAGCATTTAATAAGGCCCCAAAGAAGAAGAGAGCTCTGAGAAGACTAGTTGTCCCATTGTTTGATTCAGATGACAGTTCTGATGAGGAAAGACCAATTCGAATTATTGGGGTAAATATTTAAATGTATTTAAAACAAATTTTAGAACTGCACACTTTACCAACCAATTTAGAACCAACAAACTAAAAAAATAGTAGTTTATGTTATAAGAATGAAAAGATAAGTTTTTCTGGCGACTACGAGTAGTTTGCCAGACGAGACGTAGTCCGAAAATGCACTTTTCGTCCGTGTTTCATACATTATTTTTTATTCGAATGTACATACATACAAATTAAACAAATGTAGAAAATGTTTTCAATTTTTCTTATAACTGAGATGGCTGTGATAGATATGAATAGCTAGATATATTCTTGGTAACAATATTTTTATTCTCAGTAATACATATATAAACATGTTTACATAGTCTTCAATACACATAAATGGTAAAATACACCACATTTTACATACATTAACATAAAGCATACTCGTATAAAATTTAAAATAAAATAGGATTTTAAAAGATCATGGTTGACAATAGTAATAAAAAATATGAGGTGACATGTTTCACTCTTACAAAATAATCGTTAGTGTTATATAGACACATGTCCAGTAATATCTTTTTAATTTGATGTTTAAACTTTTTTCCTGGTAGATTACGGATGTGGGGCGGAAGTGCATTATAGAATGAAATACCTATTGTTCGGGACTTGTTTATTCTAGTTCTCGCTTGGATTAGCTGATTTTTCCCTCTAGTATCGTATGTATGATTATCTGAGTGACATGTGAAGTTTCTCAAATTATTTTTTATGGCTAGCAAGTTTTCATACTTTGCGAAAACAGGGTCATTATGCTAAGTTGCTTAAATAGTGGTCGGCATGGTTTATAATAATTTACCCGTAGAATAGAGCGAACTGCTGATTTCTGCAAGATAAAAAATTTTTTGTAGTGAAGTGAAGCTAGCATTTCCCCAAGTTAGAATCCCATATGTTACATTGGAATGGAATAAGCCATAATAAGTAGTTATTGCTGCTTCTGTATTAATTATATTTGATATTCTACGTAGTAAGTTATTTATTTGATAGTTCCATGTAAGTTGTGAGTCAAAATATATACTGAGAAATTTAGTGTTCATTGTTTCACTAGTAGTTTGGTTCAACCTGAAGACACATGTTCCAGTTTTATTGTGATTTAATTGAACATTTGCTGTCAAGTCAATGTGCTTATGTGTCAAATTGATTTAATAATTATAGTTTATTTAGTTTTTCTTATTCAATTAAAAATGTTTCTATTAAAATTTGATATACATGTGGATTATGGACTACTATTTTACACTAGCAAAAAATCATTATCGCCAGCAGTATTAATAAAAGGTAAACTGAAAATAAAACTGACTGTTTAAAAAACTAAGTCGCTTTACTTTTGCGGCCTAGGCCTTTAAAGCATTTTTCAGTAATTTATTTGAAGTATACTTAAAAGTTATCCTATTCGATTATGTTTTATGCCCAAAAAACGACGTTTTATAACACATTCGAATAAAAATAACATTAAATAACTATGTATAACAAGTATTGCTTAACTATGTATAATAATTATTGCTCAATACATTGTGTTATTTGAACTCGAATATTGCTTTTTCTTTTTTTATTATATAAAATTTAACATTGGTGGCCGAAACTGTTAGAGATATTATTTTTTTGTTTCTCGTAGAGTGCTGGGTAATAAGACACGTAGATTATTACAACTTTCTATTAGCAGAATTTAATTATAAAAAACATAACGAACATCTTAACAGTCAAATCAACAACTAACTAACTTGAGATTATTACAAGTGACACATGTCACAAGAACATAGATTAAAGAACGATAGTTATCAAAAACAGATGTGTTAATTGTTACAACTTATTATTGATTATTTTCAACATTCTCCCTCAATAATAGGGTGTAAAATTTTACAAAATAAAAAAAATAATGTGAAGGAACATTATGACAATACTTTTTTATATCATATTTAATTTTTCGCATAAATATTTGTATCTTTTTGAACCTAACGATTTTGTCAGAATATCTGCTTCCACTTCTTTAGTTGGCATATATAATAATGTTATTTCATTATTCTTTACACACTCAAAATTGATACTTAACATGTATGTATTTAGTGCGTTTGTGTAAACTTAGATTTTCTGACAACATCAAGGTACTCTGATTATCATTGTAAATAGTGATAGGCATTTTCAAATTTAAAAAATTACAGTCTACAAATCCGTTTACAGGGCTATTTGATTTTTTAAAAGTGATACCTACATCTTTTGTACCTTTCAGATACTTAAGTACTATTTTAGCTCCCAACCAATGCTCTTTTGAATGATTAATATTGAATTGACTTAGATATGATACTGAAAAGGTAATATCTGGTCTTGTACATACTGATAGATACATGATTGATCCAATTAACTGTTGAAAAGGAGCATCATAAAAAAACTCCATCAACTACAAAAGTTTGGTTTGGTTCTAAGGTAGCACCTACAATATTACAGTCTGACATCTGAAACTTATTTAGAATTTTATCTATATATTGTTCCTGATTTAATTTTAACTCTCCCTTAGCACGGTTTCTTACTATTTTCATACCTAATATGTGTGACATTGGTCCAAGGTCTTTTACATGAAAATGTTTATTTAGTTCAGTTTTCAAAAAATTGGCACCATCAAGGTCATTGTAAAAGATAAAGAAATCATCTACATACAGTGCAACTATAACTATAGAGTTTTCAATATTTTTAAAGAAAATACAAAGCTCTATTTTCGATTGGCTAAATTTCAAATTAACAAGAATATTTCGAGCCTTCTCATACCATAATCTTGATGATTGCTTTAACCCATAAACAGCCTTTTTGAGTAAACACACTTTAGTTTCTGAACCTGGTTCTTCGAAACCTTCTGGTTAAGCCATATAAATTTGTTCATCAATCTCACCATTAAGTAATGCTGTCTCCACGTCTAAATGGTCTGCTTCCAAATCTAATTCTACAGCCATTGCAAGAAGTAATCTTAAATTACTAAATCGGATTACTGGAGAAAACGTCTCTTAATAATCTACGCCATATTTCTGGGTGAAACCCTTGGCAACTAACCTAGCCTTATATGTAGCTATATCTCCATTTTGATTCAACTTAGTTTTAAAAACCCATTTATTTTTGAAAATATTTTTATTATTAGGTTTATCAACCAATTCCCATGCATTGTTGACTTTAAAGGCATTTAGTTCCTTTTTAATAGCATGCTTCCATTTAGCACAGTGCTTCAGAAAGACTTGATTGTTCTAAGTTATTTGATATAGCTACCATACTCGCTAACATGGCAAAATTTGAATTATCAGATGTTATGTTGATAATGGGGTGTTAATACACTGCGACCTAAAAGATCTATTGTGCCCCCTTCTGTCGCCACTGCACTAAGGAAATGTCTCAATGCCTATAGCGACCCTTCCAATCCTATTTTCTCAAGGAAGTGTAGGTTTTGAAGTGGCTTCAAGTTAGGTAAGTCTCCCTCTTTGAATTATCAGATACATTATTATCATTATCTATTAAATAATCACCACAAAATTTTTCTTCCAAAAAACATCTCTTGCTATCTTTAGATTCTGATTGTTAGGATCCATTAATCTATAACCAATACTGGCTTCAGAATATCCAACAAAAATCTTTTCTCTTTTCATCTAGTTTTCACCTTTTTATATCAGGTATACGGACGAAAGCACTACATCCAAACAGTTTAAGATGGCTAAGATCTACCTTCTTTCCAGTCCACTTTTCCTCTGGCGTTGCACCACGTATTTTCTTTGTCGGTGAACGATTTAAAAGATAAACTGCAGTGTTTGTTGCTTCTGTCCACATTTGCTTCTGGCTATTTGATTCGATGAGCATTGAACGTACCTTCTCAAGAATTGAACGATTGTACCTCTCTGCTACACCATTCTGTTCAGGACTATAGGGTACAGTTAGCTCATGCTTGATTCCTTTGTCTTTAAGAAAAGCATCTAACGTTTTATTGCAATACTCTCCCCCATTATCAGTCCTTATTACTTTTATTTTTCGTTCAGTTTGATTTTCTACCATCAAACAAAATTCTTTGAAAATAACAGGAACTTCGTCCTTCGATTTAAGGAAATAACAAAATATTTTTCTTGTATGGTCATCAATTAGAGAAAAATATATCTCTTACCACCCCATGATTCTTCTTCCATTGGTCTAACTAAATCAGAATGAATTAGGTCAAGTTTATTTTTAACAACTTCTTTATTCTTTTTATAAGGAAATGGTTTTCTTGACTGTTTTCCTTTAATACAACTTTCACGGTATTCAGGGACATTAATTTCTTCATATACCATTCCTGTTGCTAGACTGTTTTTTTTAGTAAACTCATGATATAGTGATTTAGGTAACCTAGTCGCTTATGCCATTACATATGAGAAGTGGTTACTTTTGCTATGTTTATATGCTCCGACAAAGTATCAAGTTTATATAACCCGTCGACATTACTGGCTGTAGCAATGATTTCTCCCTCAATAGAGCACTTCTCTTGCTCAATTATTTTGCAACCTTCAGCGTCAAAACATACACTGTAGCCTTTGGACACCATCGAATTTACTGACAGAAGGTTAACTGAAAGATCTGTAACATACTTAATTTCAACAATGTTCCTTTCAATTCCATCTTGTTTTAACTTCACAATACTATTGCCAGTTCCGCTAACAAACAGTTTATTATTATTTGCTATGGAAATTTCTTGTCCTGAATTTTTATTCGACAATTCCAACAAAATATCACTATTGCCTGTCATGTGAGAGGATGCACCACTGTCGATGTACCAAGCATTATTTTTCATATTTACACCTAATGCAGCGGCAACCAAAGCTTTATTTCCACTTCTGTTATCACTCGGTTTGTTTATATTTTTATTTGGTGTCATATCTTTCTTGTCTTGTGCTTGTGGACATTGATTTTTGTAATGACCTTTTTGCTTACAACCCCAACACCATGGAGATTTCTTAAACTTATTATATTTCACAGCTAATGCAGAATCCCCTCCATGTCTTCCATTTTGCCACTTTTTGTCTTGTAGCAATTTGGTTTTTACAAAATCTGAGGTTATGTCTACACCGGAATTTTCAAGTACCATGACCATCGATTCGTATTCTTCTGTGAGACCTTGTAGCATTATCACACCAAGAAATTCATCATCTGTAGGTTTCCCAATTGACATCAGTTGCAGAGAGAGGCCCATTATTTGATTTACATAGTCTTCCATGTTATCAAAGTTTTCAAGTTTTATTGAGCACATACTTCTCAATAATCTCAACCTTCGATGTAGCCCTTCGTCTTCTAATGCCTTTTCAAGTGCTATCCATGTCTCACTTGCGGTTTTGGCTTGCATTACATGAGGGTACGTTGATTTATCTAAGGATAATATTATTTTTGACAACGCTTTTCCTTCACGACGTGCACTGGCCGCAATATCTGCTTCTGACGTTATCGCTACTTGTCTAGAAATACAATTCCATAGCCCATCTAGTTTTAATAAAGCTGCCACTTGAAACTTCCACTCTGAATAATTTTCTCGGCCTTTGAGTTTTTCAATACTTGCCGCCATACTAGTTTCACCCGCCATATTTTTGTGAAGAGTGATGTATGTTAACTGCTCAATAGAAAAAAAAAACGTAAAAAACGTATTTCGTTTACACGAACTCTGGGCCCATAACCTGTTGGAGATATTATTTTTCTGTATTTCGTAGAGTGCTGGGTAATAAGACACGTAGATTATTACAACTTTCTATTAGCAGACTTAAATTATAAAAAACAACGAACATATTAACAGTCAAATCAACAGCTAACTAACTTGACATTATTACAAGTGACACATGTCACAAGAATATAGATTAAAGAACGGTAGTTATCAAAAACAGATGTATTAATTGTGACAACCTAATTATTGATTATTTTCAACAGAAACGAGCGATTTAATCTTAACAATTAGATCGTTGAATGTATATCGCTTCGGTGATCTAACGATTAGGAAAGTGGGACGGCAACCCGGAGTTCGCTGGTTCGAGCTCTGCTCGAAGCGCACTTTTCAAAAAAAAAAAAAATTTTTGCAACTGATTTGTTTTCACCCTTCTTGGTTCTGGAATATATTCCTGAACTTCTTTTATTTGTATTTTTTTCGGCAATTTAAATCGACAAAATATCTCCGATAAACTTATATTTATTTGTCATTTACAAAAGTTAGTTTTACATAAACCTGGTAGCTTATAAAATTTGATATGAAATATTTTTCAAGTAAAAGTTATAATGTTAATACTAATCAAGAAAATACATTTTACATTTCAGGCCAGAAACCGTGATGCTGGAAGAGCCACTTTTCGAGAAGAACGTGAAGGATTCTTGAATTTTGTTTTAGGTTCCTTCAGAGAAGGAAGATATCTATTTACAGGTATGAAAATCAATATCATATAGAATTTTTATATTTTTTACATTGAAATAAGAGTACTGAAATTTTTTATCTAATGGAGATTATCTAATATGTCATGAAAACAATGCATTCCTTAATGGCATAAATATCGTTTTTGTGTTAAGGCTATCAAATGAAATACGCCACTTTAGTGGGACGTCAATGAGCCAAACAAAAACAGAACAATCTTTTATTAATTTAGTTTAAAGGTATATAACTACATTTTCATTGTAATTAACGATATAACAACGGATCGGAATTTTTAATCCTATTAACACAAAAAACAATAAAGCTCTTTAAAACCTTCATTTATACATTTAATTAATAAAAAAATTGATATTAAAATATTACTATTAATTTTTTAGTCTCACTAGCAGCCAATAGAATAATACAAATGGTTAAATAGTTGCCAAATATTAGCAAATAAAGATAATATAGGAAACGTTTCAGTTTTTATGTTTTTCACCTAGGCAATAACATGTTGCCTATTAATTACATCATGCTAACATCATTCAGGGCTCATTCAACACAAAGTATTCAAAACGCCAGGAAATTGAAATATAAATATAGCAAACTTGTAGGTTATAGTGATACGTAAGAAGTGTCGAACTGATAATAAGCCCCTTGGCTTATTGGGGAACATAGTGTTCCAAACCTTTTGGGTCACAAACAATTTTAGTGTGAGTAAACATATTAATCGTATTCAATTATCGAGTCTTTTTATAAAATTTTATATTTCAAATGAGTTGTTTACATATAGTTATTTATACATTGTTCGAATTACATTCAAAAACTCACACAAAGAAAAAAATTCATATCAACAAATATAAAATATACATATTTTTTATCAATAAATTTTCATCGTATTAAAATAAAGCACCTAATTAATTTTCAGTTTCACTCTTTCTACAATACATACAGAGATGGGATTAATAGAAAAATAAAAATAGATAATTTGGCAACAATATTTAAATTCTCTAGATTTTATTGGTACAGGTCACTCTGCATATGGGACATAACATTTTAAACTTTAATAATTATTTCTTCGGCCTCTTGCAACATCTGAATGGCAACATTTTGCTAAAGTACTTTTTAAATGATAAAGTTTCCTGTAGACTACTTAAAAAATAACTACTATAGCTCCTTATTGCAGATAAATATAGTTTTAAAAATAATAAAAATAAATTGTAAATTTACCTCTAATTTCATTTATATTTTTACACGGAATTGATTAATAAACGATTATTTAACTGTTATCTACTTTAGAAATATTTTATCCTAAACCTAAAGTCAATTCAATTAAATAATACAAGTTCTAAAAAGATGTACATCCTTATTTACAAAGCGTTTTTAAGAAGAATTAATTGATCACATTTACCCAGGAATTGCGAAAATTCAGAACAAGTCAATGAAATGATTTTATGAACGTGCTATTTTGACCCCTAAGAATGATTAAGCTATGTTTATCAAGGACACGTTGCTGAAGTAATTTGACGAAGAAGAAATATTGTACAACTCAATAGGCACGGTGTGTAACGCGGATGACGCCATGAATTATCGTAAAGTTTTTGAATTCACTCAATCCATCGGGTCTACCATACCATAGGATTATTCTAAAAAATGATAGACTGATAATACTTCTGAGGAATCTCATACCGCCTTAACTCTGTAACGGCACTTATTGCAAATTAAAACATTTCATAAATATTTAAAATAGCTATTATTTTGACCGGTGATTAGAGCTGTGGCAAACCGTATGTATTCGTTACTCAGTAACGGGTAGTCGGTCAGATACGAAATACGAATTCGTTACTGCAGTTTAAATTTCGTTACTCGCATCCGCATCGTCGCATAACGCACAATAATACTTGACAATACATACCGCCACGGTTCGGTGTGCAAGATGCGAGATGGCCCGATGGGCGATGCGAAATGCGAGTGTGGCCTTGATGCGAATCGACTATCGAACCGTACGTCGATTGGGACTCGGAGAGTTCGCAACGTACTTTTGTTTATATTTATGTATTTATTTATTTCAGTTTTAAAGAATAGTATAATAGTTGTTTTTCTGTTGCGTGTTGCAAGAATATAATATGTTTTTGTTTATTAAAGTTATGATTTTATAGAGTATTATTATTGTTTCTACTAGTGTGTTAGAAAAATATATATGTTTCTGTTCAACCTGTCTGACGATATTTTATTTTGCAAAACTTCACATCAGTTCTCATTGCTCATGCTCAGTGAACTACACGACTTTGTTACTAATTACAAATTCGCTATGTATTTATTTAACCAACGATTCGATATCTAATTTCATCCACACCCTCTGTTAGACAGTACCAAAACCTAACAACCGAAGCAATGCGTACGTACGATTAGTTACCGACACCAATTCCGCATCCGCATAGACGTGTATGAGGTCCACACAATGCGTGTTCTGTAGATTCGTATCACAGTAACGAAAGTAACGAGTAACGAATATTTTTATACGGGTAGTCAGATCCGAAGTAACGAATACATACGGGTATTGATTTTCTCGTTACTTTTACAGCTCTACCGGTGATACATGCCGCGGAATCCCTTAATATTAGGGCGAGCTCACTTTTGATTTTAAGAAGCTACAATTCCCAACAAAAAAAAAATGTGATTTGTCCAACACATGACTTTCCTATCTAGTTACTACAGGCTTTTTCCGGTTATTTTGTAAATCTCTTCCACCACCTCTGTAACTGTTTAGAGGATAAACTAAATATATACATTTTCCACATACTTCTAACTCGAAACATATTTTTATCCTATTCATTGCCAACGAAAATATTGAAAAATTTAAATTTTACACTTTTCCTCCAATTTTTCCATTACGTTCCATTATAGAGAAATCATGTATAAAACAAAAATTTTAGTTTAACAATTTTCTTAAAAATCAGAATTTTACACATTTTGTCAAATTTCTCGAATACGGACCATTTTAGGAAAATTTTGTGTAGGGCAAAAATTATAGAGAATAGAAGTAACTTTTATTTGAAGAATTTTCTTCTCCAAACGTAAATAACAGATATATTCCATAAAATATAAAAACGACCCCCTATAAAGTTTCCCCTCCCTAGATGTTCCGACTCTGCCAAAAATCTGATCAGTTCACTGCAGGCCAGAATAGAGAATAAGTTTAAAATTTTGTGTTTTTCTTTGTATCCGTTCATGAGTTATCGAGGATACAGACAGACACACAGGCAGATACGCATGCAGACTAGGGTGATTCATTTCCGCAAAGTTTTTTTTTTTTTTTTTTTTTCGGTGCTCAAGCAAAATATTAATTTACATGGATTAACTTGAATTTCGCTTGTTTTTATCTAGCTTATATTATTATCATTATTATAATTATTTTTAATTAAGTAGTTTAATTAAATAGGTTGAGTGGAAGAGAGGACTTTCCCTTGCTTGCAAGGATTAGACCTAACTCTGCCTTTTGGCAAATATTGTATTTTGCTTATCTGTATGTTTTTTTTTTCTCTGCCAATAAAAGCTTTTATTATTATTATTATTATTATATAGAAAAAAAAATCTCACCAAGTTTGAGCTCTTAATATCAATTTTAAGTACTTACTATTTAAATTTAAAGTTTTACCATTTTTTTTTTATTTTTTAAATTTCTAATGCTTACCCACCTTTTACAATAATGCAAATCGGTTTGATGGACCTTGTGGGGAATTTCATGCTCTTCGAAATTGCTTCAATGTTTTTTTGTGTAACTCGCACTGGTTCACCAGTAGGAGTCGTCAAAGTAGTTTTTCAAAATAATTGTTTTTTTAATTTGTTCGAGCAAACCGCCAAAAGTAGGGAGAAAACAAGGGCTGACTCGGTGACTCATAAAAAAAAGTTATCCGACCAATATTTAATTAATTTACAGCCATTTTTATACCTGAAAACGTAAGAAATTGATAAATACTAACTCATAATGTTATTTAGATTAATTTTATCTATTGATTACCATTATATTTCCCTACACTAAGTACTCTTTTAGAATTATTATGATTTCTCACTCATAATGAATATAATTTTGAAGAGTGTGAGTGTGAGTCAGCATTAGAAATTTAAAAAAAAATATTTGTTTTAAATGCATTTTAAATGGTAAAACTTTAAATTTAAATAGTAAGTACTTAAAATACTTGGTGAGAATTTCTTTTTCTATATGTAGATTAATATTTTGCTTGAGCACCGAAAAAAAAAACAAAATTTTTCGGAAATTAATCACTCTAATGCAGACACACTCCGGCAGACGAGAGGCATAAACGCACACGCGCGCGCCGCGAAAATAGTCAAACGGATTCAGTGCACCTCAAAACGAAAAAATCCGTCGAAAACTCGAGGTCGAAAAAATAAGGATTCCTATACTTTCCTTATCCGTATAGAGATAGGAAAATAAAAATAGGTTCTGCCATTACCATAAATAAATCTCAGGGTCAAACTTTGAAATTCGCATGCGTAGATTTGTTTCCCCCGCGGCCAAATTTATGTGGCTTGTTCGCATAACGGGCTGGTTAATTTGTCGCTGCCACATAAACAAAAATCGTAGTTTATAAGGAAATTTTACACTAAGAAACATGATCATTTCCACCCAGTTGAGTTATCCCTTTTACAAAAAAAAAAAAAAAATAAAAAAATTATCAACACCATCCTCTTCCAATAAAAATCAGAATCTATATTACCTCATCATCTACGCATACGAATTATCGGGCAAAAGCTAGTTGTAGTTTATTTTAGAACGCTGCATGGTGGGATATTTGTATGATCTGAGCGGTCAATATTATCTAATGTTTAACCGACTCTAAAAGTACCTTATAACAACTTTTGTTATTTTAAACAATTTAAGATATTAAACTTATAATTTCAAAAATAAACTCTGATACAATTCTTTATTCGTTCGTCTGCATATTGTCAGATAGTTTTGGAAATTTCAGGTTTTTTATTAATATCCAGTAAAT